GACAGGGCAAGATCTGACAAAATAAAAATTTATAAATTATCAGGGGTTCATGAGTGAAGGGGGAGCGGGGAGGGAGGGGAAAAATGAGGAGCTGATGCCAGGGGCTCAAGTGGAGAGCAAATGTTTTGAGAATGATGAGGGTAATGAATGTACAAATGTGCTTTACATAATTGATGTATGGATGGATTGTGATAAGAGTTGTATGAGCCCCTAATAAAACGATTAAAAAAATGAGGGAGTGAGGAGCGAGGAGGGAGGGGAAAAATGAGGAGCTGATACCAAGGGCTCAGGTAGAAAACAAATGTTTTGAGAATGATGAGGGCAACAGATGTACAAATGTGCTTAACATATGGATGGATATATGGACTGTGGTGAGTTGTATGAGCCCTCAATAAAATGATTTTTTTTTAAAAGATCAATGATGTTAAACTGCAAAATAAAACTCCGATGTTACCTAATGCAAAAAAAAAGGGAAAAAGAAATGAAAGAAATCCAAATCAGGAAGAAGTCAAGCTATCCCCTTTTCCAGATGACAAGACCCTATGTTTAGAAAGTCCTAAAGAATCCACGAGGAAGCTTGTTAGAACTAATACAGTAATCTAACAAAGTGGCAGTATCCACGGTCAAGACACAAAAACCAGCCAGGTCTCTTTCAGCACTGAGCATTCTGAAGAGAAAATTAAGGAAACAATTCCATTTACAACATCTAAAGACTACAATACCTGGGAATAAACTTAACCAGGGAGGTGAAAGACTTCTCCACTGAAAACTGATCAAACATTACTGAGAAAAATTAAAAACTAAACCCACTGCCATCGAGTCTGCTTCAGGATCCCGTAGGACAAAGTGGAACTGCTTCTTAGATTTTCCAAGACTGCAATTTTTCACAAGAGTAGAGAGTTTCGTTGCTGTTTCAAAGAGCAGCTGGTTTGAACTGCTGAACTCATGGTTAGCAGCCCCACACTTTTCCCACTGAACTGCCAGGCTCCTTTCTAGAACCACCAGGGGCACCAAAGAGCCAAAGTAACCTTTGAAGAACAAAGCAGGAGCGCTAATGCTTCCCAGGTGCAAAACATACGGTAGAGCTAGAGTCTGGAACTGGTATGACAATAGGCACACAGATGAACGGAATTGAGATGAGAGTGCAAAGACAAACCCATAGCTTTGGGCCCTACTTAAATCTTGCCTCAGTACAAGAACGATTTGTTCTAATAATGTGGCATTGTATGATACCCAACTCCCTGGTACAATCACTGAAGACAAAATGGGTGCATCACCCAATGTGGTAAAGAAAGCTAATGGTGTCCAGCTATTTAAAGATTTAGTGTCTGAGGTCTTAAAGGCATGTAGTTAAACAAGTCGCCATCTACTGGGGAAGCAACCAAACCCACGTGGAAGAAGCACACCAGCCTGTGTGATCATGATGTGTCTACAGGAAGAGGTATTAGAAGTTCAAAAACAAGCAACCAAATCAATGTGAAGGGGCGTGGATGTAGTGGAAACCCAAAACCCATCTGTAAGATAATTGGACTGTCCCTCTCAGAAGGGCCACTCAGAAGGGATGATAAATCCAGGGTACAGAAAACACTGATGAACCACATAACTATCCTCTAGTTCAGCGGTTCCCAATCTGTGGGTCACAACCCCTTTGGGGGTCGAACAACCCTTTCACAGGGGTCACCCAATTCATAACAGTAGCAAAATTATAGTTATGAAGTAGCAACAAAAATAATTTTATGTTTGGGGGTCACCACAACATGAGGAACTGTATGTATTAAAGGGTCGAGGCATTAGGAAGGTTGAAAACCACTGCTCTGGTTTTTTAATATTTCCTCCCCTTACTATTGAGTTTTTTTTAATCCATTTTACCTCATTAGTCATGTTAAGTTTGCATATTCAAGATCGTTTGGTACATGAAAGCTAAGATAGATAACCCTTCAGAAACAGTAATGAGAACAATGGTTCCCTGAGGGTATTGGGGGTGGGGGGAGCAGATAGGGATCAGATAGCATTGATGACTGTATAACTCCACTCGATGGGGTCGAACAGAAGAACTGTATGTGAATTGCATTGTGTAATATATGGCACAAAAACAAACTATTATAGGAGGGGGAAAATAATAACAAGGGTTCCTAGGGGGGAGGGAAGGGAAAGGGCGGGAAAGGATATGGGGAGCCTGAATGTGATAGCAATTGTACTTTACTGCCTGATGTGACTGAACTATGGAATGTTATGATATCTGTAAGAGCTCCCAATAAGACTATTAAATAAATAAATAAATCTAAGCAGTGCACTAATGAAAAAGAAATGAAAGCTAAATAGATGGAAGTGGAAGAGCCACTAACGTGATTGGAAATCCCAAGTTATCTATAACAGAGCTCCTGGAGCTAGTAAGTGACTTTAGCGAGGTCAAAACAGACAAGGTCAATATAGAAAAATCAAAGTAATTTCATCTCAAAAGTAACGGAAATTTAAAGTTGAAATAGTACCAAAGAAGACAAGGTAAAGCTATCAATTATCCCAAATTGGATCTGTATGTTTGATGCAATCCCAGTCAAAATACCAGTACACATTTGTGTAGATTTCAACAAGGTGAAATTTCTAAGGAAGGCTAAAGAAACTAGAATTGCCAAACATTTTGGAAATCTTTTGGAAAGGACAAAGTTGGAGGGCTTGTGCTACCTAAGATCAAGACTTTGTATAGAGTTACAGTTAAAATTGGCTAAAGAGCAGACACATCGATGTCAATGAAACTGAATAAAGATTCTATAAATAGGTCCAAACAGATAGAGTTCAATGACTTAAAGAAACCAAGGCAATTCGCTAAAGAAAAGGTAGCCCATGCTACACCTCACCTCATACCTCATACACACATGCACTGAACATGGGCCGCAGGCCTCACTGAAAAATGCAAACGACGAGGTTTCCGGATAAGAACAGGAGCAAATCTGCAAGATCTTAGGCTTACAGAGTTTCTCGGTAGTGTTCCAAAAGCACATCCCATGAAAGAAAGAAAACAGTGAATTGTATCAAAATTGAAAATGTTTGCCCTGTGAAAAGCAGCATGAAGAAAATGAAAAGACAAGCCACAGTTCAAGGTCAGAAGAAGTCTAACGAAAACAAAACCTTTCAGTCGATGTCAGTGCCCAAACAAAAATGGCCTTAAAGTTCTCCGAGTAAAATGCAGGCCTGAAGAAATTGCTATTTATGTCCGACGATATTCTGCTCTCTGGTCTCCCTTCTTGCCTTGAGGACGGATCACCAGCAGATACAGAACATTTCCAGAAGTTCATTACAATGGGGGTGGGACATTTTAAGAATAGAGGGACACAGCCTTTGAAACCATAATGAATCTCATAAAAAGAACAAATCTGAATGAGTTTGGGTATATACACACAAAAGTAGTATTTTGACATTTGTTTTCATAAAGGCGTGAGACTGAGTCAGGGACAGTTCTGGAAATAGAATGCTGTGAGCCTTAGCTAAGCTTTAAGATACGGTTCTAAGGAGAGCAAATTAGCATGGTCTTTGTAGACAAAAAAGATGTCTATGCGAAGCAAACTTGGAGCACAAAGCACTTTCTCGAGAATTTCCATCTCATGAGTAAAGAAAATACACAGGGGACAAAGTCACCCTGCTTCTCCCAGGCATAGTCTCCCTCTTACCTCAATATCTCCAACCCAGGACTGAGCGCTGTTCAAATTATCTTCGTTAATGTCAGCAAGTTTGTCATGCCAAGCAACTGCCTGAGCATCAAATGTCACAAAATTGAATTTGCTTTTATATTTCAGTTGTTCCTGCAAGAAACAATTTTTCTTATTCATGTAACTTTTTAAACTGTGGCAAAAATATATACAACAAAACCATCTCCCACAGCCTCTACATGTATAATTCAGTGTCATTGATTATACGCTTCGTGCTGTACAACCATTATTGATATCCTTTTCTAAATTACTCCCTTGCCATTAACATAAACTCAGTGCCCCCCAAGCAACAGCTCTTCCTCCTTCTCCCACGGTGACCACTGGTCAAGCTTGGCTTCTCGCTCTCTTTCTCTCTCTTTTTTTTTGTTTTGTTTTCTTGATATAGTATTCACATATCACACATTTCCATGTTTAAATTGCTTTTTAAAAAGAGTTGCATATACATCATCACAATCAGTTCTAATGTTCTCTCCCCACTCCCACATTCATTGTTTGTTCCCCAAATCCCCCCTCCCCCCATGCCCCCTCCCAAATCCCCAATAAACCATTGCATAAGTTATAGAAACAATTGTACAACCACACACAAAAAAAGGCTAGGGCAGCTCATAGGATGATACATTTTAATCCAGGTGATATCTATAGTATCTATTTTCAGTTCTAGAAGCTAAAAATTATATTCAATAGGGGAATTTTTTCCTAATGCAAAAGACATTTAAATAAAATGCATATATAGATTGGATGTCAATAAGAACTTTACAGACATGTAAACTTTATAGGGATAAGTATTATGTCCCACATATACATAAACATATAAAATGTGATATTCAGACTGAGCTGAGACATTATGGGACATATGGACATTAATGATACACAGCATAAGCATACTAAATGAAATGTGCTTTAAGAAAATAAATCCAGAATGATCTAATTGTTTCCGTCACTATCAATTCTCAGTCAGTGACCACAAGCACAGTACTGCCCCTCTGTCAGTGGTGAGTTATATGGTTGCCTGGTGCTTAACAGGTTTCAGCAGTGCTTCCAGAGTAAGACAGACTAGGAAGAAAGTCTTGGTGATTGTGTTAGTCTGGGTAGACTACAGAAACAAAATTCATAGATACTCATATTTTATGAGAGAATTTTATATAAAAGGTAAGTGTACATTCAGAAAGCATCCCAACCCAGTGCTGTCCAAGCCCATAAGTCCGACATTAGCCCATATGTCTGACACCGATCTGCAAAGTCCTCCTCCATCTCACAAAACACACTAAATGATGACAAATGCAGGAGGAAAGTTGAATCAGTGAGCATGTAAGCATCTCCGGGCTTCTCCAGCACCCAGGGCTGCATCAGGGCAGGTCCATGTGGCTTCTCCTCAGGGATATCTTGCAAGAAGTGAGCCTTGCCAGCTGAGGCAGAGAACTAGCTAAGGCAGCCACACACTGATCTGATCATCAGAGAACAAGAGACCGGAGAGGCAGGCTCTCCAAGCCATTTATCTCTCCGCCCTTCAAATAAACTGCCCTTCAATGAATCCCACATGTGTTCATTGGCCAGGTTGGCACAATAAACCTTAACTATTACAGTGATCTTCCAAAAATCCAACCAAAAATGTAGTGGAGACCCAAAACCCACCTGTAAGTTAATTGGACAGTCCCTCTCAAAAGGGCAACATGGAAGGGATGATAAATCCAAGTTACAGTATAGCACTGATGAACCACATAATTATCTCTAGCTCTTTAATATTTCCTTCCCTTACTATTATGGGTTTTATTTGCTTTGCCTCTTGAAGCGTGTTAGATTTGCATATGTTCATTTGCATATTTAAGATTGTTCAGAACATGAATCCAAGATAGGTAAGCCTTCGGAAACAGGAGCAGGAGTCATGGTTCTCTGAGGGTACGGGAAGAGAGGTGGAGGGAAGTGGGTAATGGGGAGCTGACAGCACTGATGACTGTACAACCCACTCGATGGGATTGAACAACAGAATTGTGTGTGAGTCGATAGATTGGATTGTATAAGATATGGCAAAAAAGCTATTATAGGGGGAAAATAATAATAAGTGTTCCTGGGGCTAGGGTGGGGGAGGTTGGGGATACAGGGGGAGGTTGGGGATATCAATGAGTTAAGAAGAAGGAAACTGTTCTGAAACTGATTGCGGTAGCAATTGTACAATGCTGCTTGATGTGCCTGAACTATGGAGTGTTATGATACCTGTAAGAGCTCCCAAGAAAATGATTAAAAATTAAAAAATAAATAAAAACCCATGGATCACAATGGTCCAATTGGATCATGGTGTTGCCCTGAGTTGGACCTGACTCAACTATAGCTAACAAGAAAAAATGACCTTATTCAGTTACAGATCTGTTCAGCTGCCTTCCATCTGGCTTACATTTCTCCAATAGGAGCTTAGCTGATTTAAAACTGTATCCTGGAATTCTCAAACACTACCCACAACTACTTTCTGTGGCTAAGAGTTGCATCAATACTACTGATGCATAATAGTAGTATAGCGCTCATTTATAGGTGTGAAACTGGGCATGTGAAAACTTAAGCAATCTGCTTGAGGTCACACATCCCAGAGATGGCATCGCAGAGTAGGAGTAAGAACAGGAAGTTCTGAAGCATCCACCTATACTCATGGTCCCCATGAATTCCAGGGCTATGGCAACAAGATCCCTAATAAACATTAAAATATTAACATGTCAGGATGAAGGGTATTTGAGTAACAGAAGTGTGTGTGTGTTAAGTCATAGAATTCAGGCTAGAGAAAACCTAAAATCATAGACTAGTAGAAAGTTCGCTCAAAAGCCCATGCGATACACAGAGGACCAGCAGAAGAAGAGCACGCTTTTCAAAGAGAACTTATGATTCTGCAACTGGAAAGGGGGCTTTCTAACGTGGCTTTCTTAAGGATTTCTCAGCACAGACATCCCCTGTCCCCCATACCCACTGCAGGTTACTGAAGACAAGCTCATGATATATAGGCCCACAAATACATGGATATGACAGCTCAACGAACCTGTATAAGCTGAATGATCTTGTCCTTCACCAAGTCCAGTTTGCCCTTCATCGAGTGAGACGTATCAATGAGGACACAGACACAATCATGAAGTACTTTTCCAAAGAGCATTCGACTCCCCTCTTGTAGCCATTTGATTCTTAGCAGAAAAGAGATGGGTAATGAATGATTAGAACCTGAAGGCAAGCAGTTTATTGTCCTAAGAAGTTAAAAAGTGCATCTGCAGAGACCAGAGCTTCATCATACATTTTATGTCCAACTCTTTTCCAGAAATTCTAGTTAGCTTTATTAGCATATACTTCACATATCATACAATTTAATTGGTCAACCCTCTTAAGGAGAGTTATGCAATCATCACCACAATCAACTTCAGAAAATATTCTTTCCATACTCATTGTTGTTAGCTCCCCCTCTCCCCCAAACTTCCCCTGCCATGCCCCTACATAATTCAGAATTCAGTTACTGTCTCTATACTGTCTCTTTACCTGTCCTGGATTTCATGTACAGAAAATTATACAAAACACAAACCAGAAGTGAGCAACAAAAAACTAACAACAATGACTAGGAAAACTTAAATCAAAAAGAAAGCAGAAAATATTATAATCTGAGACAACTTTAAAATAGTCAAAAGGGTAGGTCAAATGATAATGTATTACATTGTCACCTAACTAAATCTTCCATAATTGACTTTACAATGTTCTGTGTCTGATAACAAAGCTATTCAGATCCCTGGACTATGGTCAGGACAGAAGGGATGTTCATAATTTAAGCTCTGATACCATTCTCTCCTTCAGATTTGGATTTTATATTCATAATCTTTGGGTCACACATGGTGGCGTGCTCCTTCTATGTGAACTTAGTTTATGCCTCAATTTGATGGCTGCTTATTTTAAGACAAGCCTTTAAGACCCCAGATGCAATCTAAAATCGATGGTGAGGAAGGCATAGAATGCCTGGTGGGGTTCGATCAAGTGCAATGTAGCCAAGAGGAAGCACAGAGAGCCAAATGAAGGTCAAACATGATAGTGGGGCAGGAGGAAACTAAAGGAAATAGAGGAAAGAACTAAGAGGCAAAACACATTTATGCAGGTATAAATTAGGCATATATATATTAAGATACAACTATAGGGATACAAGTCTATGTACAGATATTTGCAGTCAAGTAAGTGCTCCACCACTGAGCTATACCCCAATCTATGCACATATATCTATAGGTGAGTATTAAGGTAGCAGATGGACATTGCACCTCTACTCAAGTCCTCCCTCAACTCAAGAACACTTTGTTCTAATAACCTGGCATTATGTGGTGCTCACCTTCCCAACATGAAATGGGTACATAAGTCATTGTGGTCAAGAAAGCTGATGGTGCCCGGCTATTAGAAGATATAGCATCTGGGGTCTTAAAGGCTTGAAGTTAAACGAGGAGCCATCTAGCAGGGAAGCAACAAAGCCCACATGAAAGAAGCACACCAACCCGTATCAAAGGGATCAGTATCAGGCACCAGAAGACCCAAAACTAACAACCATTTCAATGCCACAGGGGAGTCAAAATGGAGACCCACAGCCCATCTGTAGACACTTGGACAGCCCCTCACAGAAGGGTCACAAGGAAGGGATGAGCCAAGCCAGGATGCAGTATAGCACCAGCAAAGCACACAACATTCCTCTAGTTCTTTAATGCTTCCTACACCACTACCACCACCCTCATGACCCCAGTTCTATTTTACAAATCTTGCTGGATCAGAGCATATACACTGGTATAGATAAGAGCTCTAGACACACAGAACCCAGGACAGATAAACCCCTCAGGACCAATAATGATAGTGGCGATACCAGGTAGGGGGAAGGTGGCGGGGAAGGGGGAAGAAAGGGGAAACTGATGGAAATGATCAATGTACAACCCCACCCCAGGGGGACAAACAACAGAAACATGGGTGAAGGGAGACAGTGGGTGGTGTGAAATATGAAAATAAAAATAATTTATATATTATCAAGGGTTCATGAGGGTGGGAGGGGAATAAAGAGGAGCTGATACCAAAGACTCAAGTAGAAAGAAAATGTTTTGGAAATGATGATGGCAACATATGTATAAATGTGCTTGATACAATTGATGTATGGATTGTTATAAGAGCTGTAAGAGCCCCCAATAAAATGATTTATTAAAATAATAATAATAAAAAAAATTTAAAAACCCAAATGCTATTCTTTCTGATAGCTGGGTAGCTTCTAGTTTCTTCATCACACTTTGCTATAATACCCATATCTTCAGGAATCTCTTCATGAGGGTGAGTATTGAGTAGGGCCATGTCACAATAACTAATTGTTCTTAGATTGGGGCTAGAATTAAGCGTGAACCCAAAAATCATTCATATAGCTATGGTTTATATATATATCTCAGGTTCACTTTAAAGACATCATTATCATTTTAGTACAGAGAATATTATAAATCATCCCCTTGAGGCATAAAGTAATTTTATTGATAGTGTCATTAATTTAGTCAATGGATAGAGTTTAAAACATTGTTGATAAAAGGAAATTATACAAATATAGGTCAACAATGAGTTATTGCCCTGTACAGATTAAGCTCTTAAGTGATCAGCTACTGCACAAATAATAGGGGTTGGTGGTAGGGCAAAACTTTCAATAACACTCATTCACAAAGATAGAACCATACCTACCAGGTTAATATATGTTATAACACAGCAAGGAATTAAATTAGTAAACATATGGTAGGCCTAGGGCACCGTTCATTAGGCACCCTCAAAGCGAGAGATCCAAACCAAAGTCCAGCAACCTCCAATTCCATAAACTTGGGCTAGCCACCATCTGCTTCTTCTCACACTGAGGCAGATCAGCTTTAAAGCTAAAGGAGTATGTCAGTGCCTTCAATCTGCCACAGGTGAGTTTGATATAAAGCCCATTTCGCTTAGTGGGTTTCCATATCAAATCCTTTGGGTGTGGCTTATGAAAGATGTACACCTTGAATGGACAAGGTCAACTGGTTTTAGCGTATGACCTGGGTCACCAAGGGTTGGATAAAAACTAGGTCGAAAGTGTCTAATTAGAAACATAGTACTGAGAGTATTCTCCCCTTGGGTTCTATATAAAAATTGTTAAGCAGCCCCCCCCTCCATGGGAGGTTGCTCCATCTAGCTTCTCCACCAACAGAAGTATAACCACTGTCTCCAAGACACACATAACTTCCCCCCCCCCCCGCCAATCTTGACTTGCATTTCCTGTAAGATTCACTTAGCACCCTGGAAAGAGTGTCTGTTAACTGGGGGTGACCTTAGCACAAGGTTGTATGACAGCAACTGAGTGCTCTTCTCTCTCTCCCCCATCATCAGAAACTGACCTCAACTGAGGTGAGATCTCCCCTGTTGAAGTGGTTTTTAAGATGTACATGTAAAGGGGATGATATATAGTTCATGAGCACTAGGTAGGTTCTCAATCTCGTTGCTTGGGGGACAAGATTAGAAGATTACATGACCTGAAAGCAGACGCCTGCCTTCATCTTGGTGTTTACACTTGCAGTGATAGACTCACACCATATGTGTCCTTTTGTGTTTGAGTAACTTCACCCAGCATAATGATGTCCAAGTCCATCCATGCCATGAGGTGTCTCATTGCTGTTCTGTAGGGATGCACACCATTCCATTGTACGTATGCCCATTCTTCTACTGCTGGGGATATGGGCTGATAGAGTACTGTCTTAATTGTTGGTCTTATAAGATGCTGTCAAGTTTATTTTTGACTCATCATGACCCCATATGCCAGAGTAGAACTACCTTATAGGATTTTCTAGGTTGTAAATCTTTAAGGGAGTAGATCACTAAATCTTTCACGGAGGAGTTGGGTGGGTTCAAACTACCAACCTTTCAGTTGCAATCAAGCACTCAACCATTAAGGCTCCTAGTAGGAGCCCCAGACTAGCCCCGGACAAAAACCTTCCCTGAATCTACACTAACAAAACTTAAGAGCAGGGATAAATAACAGAAATGTGGGTGAAGAGAGACAATGGACAGTGTAAGATATGAAATAATAATAACAATATATAATTGCTCAAGGGTTAACAAGGGTAGGAGGATGGGAGAGGGAGGGGGAAAAAGAGGAGCTTATACCAAGGGCTGAAGCAGAAAATGTTTTGGAAATGATGATGGCAATATATGTACAAACATGCTTGATACAATTGATATATGGAATGATATAAGAGCTGTAAGAGCCCCCAGTAAAATGATCTTTTTTTAAAAAAAAGAACAAGTTTTAGAGTCTCTTATGACATCCACTTTGTTATTAGGTTGGGGTAGATCAAGAACTTAAATAAAGAAATGGCACTAAAAATGATTCAAAATTAAACAAGGAGGGAAAGAAAGACTTAGGAAAAATTAACAACAATTAAGCATCCTGTAAGACAACAGCAAGGAGTTGGATATATCTGTAAATGATTATCTAAGAAGGCAAGGAAAGGGGGAGAATATATACACATTTTAAGAAATAATAACCAAAATGTCTCCAAATTTAATGAAACAATATACCCACAGATCCAGGAAGCTCAAAGAATCCAAGCAGAAGAAACAAATAAAACCACACCAAAACACATGATAATAAAATTTTTGAAATCCAGTGATCATAAAGCAGTCAGAGACCAAAAAAACCCCCAAAAAACAACAAAAAACAACAAAACATGCACATTACATGTAGGAACAAACACAGGAATAACAGGAAACTTCTAATCAGAAACCATACAAGTCAGAAGACAATGGGGGAAAGACAATGTATTGAAAGAAAAAAACCTTAAACCTAGAATTCTATATTTAACCAAGTATTTTTCATAATGTGAAGGTAAGTCAAAGGTTTTTCCGGTTAAAGAATACAAGAGAATTCATCCCAGCACCTGTACTGCCAGAAATATTAAAGGAAGTTCCTCAGGTAGAGAGAAAATGATAGCAAGAGAAAAACCTAACTTGTGCAGAGAAATAAAGATAATTATCAATATGCAGATACATACAAAAGACATCTATTCTTGTTTTCAATCACTTACTAGACAATTGATTGTGTTGTTTCTAACACTTTTTATTGTGTATTGTGTGAAGATTTACAGAGTAGATCAGCTTTCCACTCGGCAATTCATAATACTTT